TTGGGGGGAAAAAACCTCACCTATAGAGGAAAAAGGATAAGACTTCTCATCAGAAATTATGCAAGCAAAAAGAGAATAAAGTGAAATATTCAAAATGTTGGAAAAAATACCCTAACCTAGAATTCTATTTTAGCAAGGTTATTCTTCAACAGTAAAGAAGCGCCAGGTGGCTCATGCACATGGTCCCAGCTGCTCGGGAGGCTGAGGCAGGAGAGGTTGAACCTAAGAGTTCAAAGCTGCAGTGTGCCACGATTGCGCCCATGAATAGCCACTGCACTCCAGCCTGGGCAGCATCTCTCGAAGAAAAAAACAAAAAAAAAAAAAGAAAAGTGAAGACGAAATAAAGACTTTCTCAGAAAAGCAGCAAAATCTTAGAAATGGAGGACAGATTAGTGGTTGCCAGGTGTAAGGTCTGGGGAGGAAGTGGGTGTGGTTATAAAAGGGCAACATGAAGTTCCTTGTGGTGATGGAAATGGTCTGTGCCTTGACAATACCCGGCTGTGGTTTATGCTGTAGTTTTGTGAGGTGTCACCACTGGGGGATACTGGGTAAGGGCTATACAGGACCTCTCTGTATTATTTCTCACATCTGCATGTGAATCTGCAATTATCTTAAATACAAAGTCTAATAGGAAAACTCAGTCTGTTCAGAGCTGGTTCTTCTTAACCTCTTCTGGGGTTGATGTGAACAGATTCGGAGAGGATGAAGGCAGATGGCACCGCTGCAGCAGTGGGCAGCAGGTGTCCACATATGAATCAGGTCCACGCTGAGTCACCTCCTGCTCCAGGTGTGACTCATCCTATCTGACCCATGGTGCCTGGAGGGGCTGCATACCTTGGCCTGGCTCCCACGTAGCATCCTGGCATCCGTCCGCCAACAGGTGGCCTCAACCCCCTGCTAATGATGTAACCGCTCATTCTGACCACAAGCCCATGTGGCCCAGTCGCTCCCCTCAGCTGGTATCAGTGACCCACTTAGAGGCCAGGGAACTTTCATACGCCATTGCCCCACACTTCAAGAGCACGTAAAACTGAGGAGACTACCTCTGGCCCTCTCCTACCTCAATCCACTGTGCCACCAGTTCTCATCTACACCTGCCAGCTGCCACACAGGGTGGTGTGCGGCCATGGCCATGTCCCTGAGAACTGTTGTCCCTTGGTCCAAACCCTGGTTATAAGTTTCTCTCTATTTTGCAAAATGCACTCTCAGAAAGGCTTCCAAAATATCCACATTTCCCCAGATTGACCACAAGAGAAAATGGTTCTGAAAGATACTTCGAAAGTTTTCTGTATTCTGTCTAAACCAGAAACTTTGAATGTAAGAACCAAGACTATGCTACCTTTTTATTCGGGTTCCATGGTGTCTTCCTTTCCCCAGGGCAATGTGCAACTTATGTTTAACTTATCTGTGCTGAAGGGAAATATCCTTGGATAAATATGTGAAAAGAAAAGATTTACAGAGTTTGGCAAGAAGGACAAAATACATAAAGCAATACACGGAGGAACGGGTGGCTCTGCCCCTACAGCAAAGCATCTCTGCGCTGCTTTCATTGTACGCGTTAACTAGCAAGCGCCCCAAACATCAGTGCTGGCCTTCTGACATCCTGTCTTTCAGTGGTAATACAATCCTGTCATGGAACCCAAGATTCCAGAGTCTCTTTCAAAATATTTATATTAATGTGAATGTTTTTATATTTCTTAAAGGAAAATGGAAGAAACACATGCAAGGGAAAAAAGCAGCACCAGAGGAAAACCTTAAACAGAAACCTGAGGAAATAGACCATTTGCAACCCTTTGTCTTAATTTTATCTTGACAATAAAGCTTTCCTTTTCCCTTTCTCTGTGCTGTCCTCCAACTTCCTGATACCTTTCTCTGTGAGCTAAATCTCTGTGTCCACGTGGGCCCTTTGTGATGCCTGCGGCTGTGCACACAAAGCTCCTTTCCAGAAACTCAGGCAATATACTTGTCGATACTAACCAGCTGCTTACTAAGTCACCTCACATCCTGGTGCACAGAGCACTATAGGTAAGTAACATTGTGAATTCCCTATAAAAATCCAAGCCAAGGTACCCTTGGTCAAAGATTTCAAACACAAGAAAATCCTTTGTGTGAACAGGAAACTGATTTGCGTACTTACTGTTAACTAGACAAACAACTTGTAAGTGAATTGCATTTGTTCTCTTGGCAGCTCTGTTTGTATAAAGAGGCTTAACTGAAAGATTAAAACAAATTCTATCTTAAAATATTGCACTGAGAAGCCATACACCTGCCCAGAGTTCAAAGACTGTAGTCTTACAGTTGCATAAGCACCTGGAAAGTTTACATGGGAAACAGTTCAGAGTAACAAAACTAAACATCTACGGCAAATCCCCCGAGTCCAAGGTTTCTTGGGCTGGCAAAGTGAAAAAACAAAACCAGACTTATCTGCTTCCTGAACAAAGTCCAGCTAGGCTGATAGTATGGAGTGCTTTGGAAACTTCCAAAGTTCTGTTAATGAGGGGAACTGATGATTATTAAAAGATGGGAACACATGAAGCCACTTTAGGATTCTATGACAGATACTGATACCAGATTTTGTTAATTCCAGCAGTAATTATGGTTCTCAAAAAAATGCTGCTTCCCGGCCTGGATGGTGATTATCCTTTATTTTCTACCAAAGATTATGGGCTGAGAGAAATATAAGTAGATAGAAAACACAGGAAAGCAAGAAGGCTGTTCAAGCTTTTACACAGGTTGAAACCTTCTGGGAAACTACCCACACACAAGATAATATTAATATAACCCAGGTGTGCAGTGGTGAAGCAGGGTGTTAAGAAAGTGACTGTTGTTTTTATTACTACCTGCAATTTTCAAATTAATGAAGATGGGGTTGGACAGATGTAAAAATCAGTTGTTGGCTTCGTCTTTAAGACACAGGGATACGAAACAATCCACTAAAAGCCAGAGTAGCGTGCTCATTCGTAAGTCTCTGCGGTGATGGTGATCGTGTTTCTCTCAGGTGAAGCAAACGGTTTGGGTAACTTGGTCTCGTCCCAAGGGTCCTTCCTGTGGGGTGTGCAAGCAGGTGGGTCCCTCGTGGGCTCGAGGCCAGCGAGCCACCCCTTCCCTGCAGGGTCACAGGGTGCCCAGAGGCAGCCTTTCCTCTCTGGCCCTTGCGCAACACGGCACACAATCTCCTGCTAAATTAGGCCTTGTTTCTTTCACTGAAATAATTATGTCCTTATTTTTCTCTTTCCGGAGACACTTTCTTTATAAAAGCTCCAAAGTTTAAGCCTCTTAGAAATTTCTCCACAGTTTTAACAGAGGTTTCAAACCAACCAAAGTCAGAAACACGTCTAACTTCATACATCCGGCTGGAATCCCCTTAAATAAACTGGCGGGTGGCTCAGGTAGACTGACAGTGAAAGCTGCGCGCCTGCGGGGTCCCCGCCTCGCCCGGGGCTGCTCTCTGGAAGCCCCTTCACGCCCGCACATTCCCACTGTGCTGCCTCCTAGCTATGTGGCCTCGGGGACCATTCTTTTCACCTCTCTGGGCCTTGGTTTGTGCTTAGCACCATGCTGAACACAGTCTTATCTGGTCTCCTTTCTGGATTTCCCTTGGAGTCAGAGGCCATTTCCACCTGAACTAAAGAAGACAAAGCATTTCCACACAACTAACAAAGAATGGATGCCTGCTCCTTGACCTCCCTTTATAAGATTTCCTATTTCCTGCCGCAGCTGCTGAAATTAGGGATTCACTGCTTGAACAGTTGCTATTGACTCATTTCTCATCCTCCTGTGACGCCCACAACACTCACATATAGAGAGGGAGAGAAAGGGAGGGAGGGAGGGAGAGAGAGGGAGAGAGAGATACTTTACAAGTGGTGATAAAACCTTGATAAATGTTGTATGAATGAATGAACCCTACTTAATGGATACTTGAGTGGATACAACTTTTTAAAAAGGGAGATGCACATTCCTGGACCTACAAATATGTTATTAATATTTAGCAAAGTATTTTGCAACACCAAAGCAGCATACCACAATAACCAACTGACTTCATTGATAAGATTTAGTGTTTTGAACAAGAATGTTCCCTAGGCCATTAGATTTCCCCATCAATATTGTTCAACAATGAACCCAGAGTCCCACTTCCCAAGGAGAAGGAAAGTCAAGCTGTCTTCTCTGTAACACTTATCAGATGTTTCCTGAATGCCACGTGTCAAAGGCTATTTTTATGCAGAGCTAGAAGTCCTTTGTTGCTACAGCAAAGAATAATAGATCAAAATCCCAGATATAAAATGATCTAGAAAACACTAAAAGTAAAGTGATAATAACAGTAGCTGTTTCATATGGTCCTGGTGAAGATTAAATGAGATTATATAAGCACAGAGGCCTGTAAGTACTCCACAGACATTAACCATTGTTATTTTTATCAAAGTGTAAAATACCATTTTGAGATCTCACAGAGATGCTGTTAAGCTAAAAATATGCAACTATGCTTATAAATGTGTACTAATGACAAGTGTCTGCTGTCTTTTGATATCCTATCATCATAAAACATCTGTCTTGATAGCAATCCCTAGAAGAAGGGCCTGAGTCAGGGAATTGGGTGCCTGTGAACTATTACTGAGGAAGCCCTCTTCAGGACAAACCTGTAAAAGTTCTTCAGGAGGAAAGGAAGGTAGGGCAGGCATCGGCGCAGAGCAAGGATGTGGTCTCCGACTAAGTCAAGCCTTGCTTTGATCCACTGGGAGGCTCCGGAGCTTAAATCTGACCAAAGGTTGTTGCCCCTTGAGTTGAGGGGACTGGCCTTTTGTACTCCCATTTCTGTCAGTCGTTTGCTGTGGGCTGCACCTCCGTTCCCCCACGTGAAACATGGGAACATAATCTCTAGAGCGAGGCAGTCATCTTCAGCAGAGGACAAATCTCCAGAAAAGGGGAGGTGTATAAATTAGCTCAAGTTGCCATAACAAAACACCATAGGCCAGGTGTCTTAACAACAGAAACTGATTTCTCACCATTTTGGAGGTTAGAAGTCCCAGATCAAGGTCCAGCAGAGTTGGTTTCTGATGAGGTCTGGCTTCCTGGCTTGCATATTTCTACCTTCTTTCTGTGTCCTTACATGGAAGAGAGAAAAAGAAAAATCTCTCTTTTTTCTTATAAAGTCACATTCCTATCAGATTAAGACCCCACCTCTATGACCTCATTTTACCCTAATTACTTCCTAAACACTCTATATCCAGTCACAGTCATTTTAGGGTTAAGGCTTCAGCATGTGAATTTTGGGGAGACACAATTCAGTCCATAGCCAGAGGCATGTGTGACCATTTGACAGCCAACACTCATAGCAACTGAGGCATTAGTACAAAGGCCAGGAACAGTAGATTATTAGCAAAAGTGAGGCCAATTAGTCTTCTCTCTGCATTCGTGGTCCTTTCATTATGACTTTGCAACTCCTAATTTACTCTTTATATTTGAGCTGGCTTTATGAATTATTTTGACTAACAAAATGCAGAGGAAAGGACATTGTGCCAGTTCTAATCCTAGAGCTCAAGAGGCCCGGTGAGCTTCTACTCGCTCTCTTGGAGCTCTGATGCCACTACAGAAATAAGGCTGGGTTGGCCTGTTGCATGATGGCATTGTCCCAGCCGATAGCCAGCCAGCCAGCAGACACATGAATAGAGTAGACAGCCCCCAGTCAGTCCTGGAGCTGACCACAGACACATGAGTGAAACCAGCCGAGATTAGCCGAGCCTTGCTGGGTCAGCAGAGCCACCCGGCTCGCTGGTAGACTTGGGAGCAGTAATAAACGGTGGCTGTGCTCAGCCACTAAGCTTGGGGTAGGGAGTGTGCTTATTAGACAGTAACAGATAACTGGTACACCCAATAAAGGGAACTTGGACCGAAATACAGAGTTAATGCCAATTATCAATCATCTTAAAACAATAATGCCTATTGTTTTTCTTTGGGGAGCTCTTTAAGAAGAACCTGATTCTATAATTTTTTAAATAATAGAAAAACTTAATCTCTCATAATCAGACATTCTTCTCAGGAAATACTGAATCAAACCCTTACAGTTTCCCTTACCCTTACTGAATCAAACCCTTCCTCTCTAGCCTCAAGGACACATATCTAGATTTAAAATCGGCTTTGGCCTAAAGACACTGGTCTCACCTCAGTCATTAAAGAAATTCACATGAGGTATAGAAGTAAAGCACTGTACTCAAAGAAAGAATTTCAGGGTTTGAAACTGGCTACCTCACTTTTTGTTTGTATAATTTGGCAAATAACCTGTCTGAATCAATTTCTTCATGTGCTAAATGAGGACACTATTTTTTTAGCCACCAAGAAATTTGTCAAGAGGCTCAAATGAAGTATGAGTGTGAAAGTCTAGATAAAGTGGAAAATGTTTCACAAACATGAGTGAATTCTAGGGACAAATATGTATCACCACCTTGGAGACTGGGATAAAAGATAACCAGGAGTCCTTGTTGTATAAAGGTCCTGAACCTTCCTGAGATAAATGTAAAGTGGGTTTTGAGAAATATGTCCAAAGTCTGAGCCTTTGAGATAAAGGTAGTCCCCAAGTTCTCATTCTGAGGTAGATGACATCTGACATGAGCCTCAGCAAGAGGCTCTGATTGATCATGAAGCTAGAAAGAGCACTTTAAGGCATAGCTCAGAATACTTCTGACCTGATTTGAGACATCTGTTCTAAATTCTTCAACAGAGGGAACAATAAAAAGGAAAAGTCCTGGTTACATATTGAAGTCCTGAACAAAGAGTTGGCTTTCCTGTTCACATTGGCTAACCAAATACAAAGGTTTACTCTGAGGAGGAAAAAAGTCCCAGTAAAATGGCGTGCGCGGGCGCGCACACACACATGTAAAATGAATCTTAACAGAGTGGCAAATTTGAAAGTGATGCCACCAATCAATTTTCTAGAGGATATGAATGCGCTATCCAGAAAGTACCCAGCTATGTAATATAACAAGGTAATATAACAATGCCTGGATACTTTCCAGACAGCCCTCGTATAGTAGTTCAGACCAGATTGAAAGTAAAATCTAAGAGAGCTGAGGAAGACACAGTCTCATACAGAAGAAATAGAAGGTCACACAGAGTGTGTTTTCCCAACTGTGCCTCAAAATAATCCAAAGATCAGAAGCAGTGGGAAGCAGGGGAAAGAGCAGGAAGAAGACCTTGGGGAGGTGACTAATGAAAGGATATCAAAACGTCTGCATCGGTGTCCACCCACATCCCTGTCATCATGACGGGAGTGGCTACTTCTTAGAGCTACAGATTCCAGATTCAAGCCATGAAGACAGCTCTCTAAAGAGGGAATTGGGACATAGAAAACTCCAGAGTAGCTGAGGCTGGAGAACCAGAGCAGTACTACGGACAACCTTTGGTTGCTGTGAGGAGCAAGGACTCCTGGCACTTGTGGTCCCACACCTGCTTCCGCCCCACCAGCTGCCAGGCTGGGGCTCCTGTAAGCAGAACCTGTTTCTGTGGTACATGAGCAGCGAGTTTCATTTGGGTTAGAACTCACATCTACAGCTAGGAACAGACAACCACAGTGTTTAAATATTTGAGGAAACCCAACTGCAAAGACATCAAACTATAGTATTAATAACAATAATAATAACAACAACAAAGTCCTAAACTCAACAAGTGGAAGAATTAACCTCTGGAAAACTGATGGAATCACAGTAAATGAAAGAAAACTACAAAAGAATATAAATATAAGAGATTAAATAAAACTGCAAAATAAGCATAATTAATTCCCTCAAACCAAATTCTCTTGGTTTGAAGGAATACTGGGTTCAAAAGGAAAGAATAGATTGTAATAAAAAAGCAGCAATGGAGAGCTCTAAAGTAAACAATATGATCTCCATCTATTATTGACATCTCAAAGAGCACAATGCACACAGCTAAAAAGGCAAATGGCTGGAAGAGAGAGCCAAGTGATTCTCCTACGATGTAGTTCAGAAGGACAAAGAAGTAAAAAACATGGGGGGAAACCTAAAGAATGTGAGGAAGAGATCTGGAAGAATAATTGTTCATTTAGTAGGAGTTCCAAAAGAACAGAAGAAAGGGAATGGAGGGAAATTATAATAAAAACAGTAATAGACTAAAATGTTCTAATCAGATCTTTAGATAAAAAACACATATTAAAAACAAAAACAAAATACACTAGGTTTGTCTTAATGAAATTTCAGAACCCAAACAATGAAGAGAATATCCTAAAACACTCTGGAGGGACAAAGAATGTACCAATAGGAAACAGAATCAGATGAACATTGAGCTTCTTACTTGCAAAATGGTTGCTAGAAAATCAAGGAACAATTCGGAGGAAAAGTCATTTTGAATCTATTCAACAGCATTCTATACCTAGCCAAACTCTCACTAAAAGATAAGAACAAAGTAAAGATTAAGGAGCATGTGCTTGCATCTTTACTCAGAAAATACATCATTAAAAAACTTTTCTGAAAGAATATATAAATATCACAATGAACACATTTCAACTAATACTATTGAGAGAATGGCATATTTAACAGTATGAGAATATACATTCTTCTTAAGCTCCATGGAATATTTTCAAAAGTGGTCCATATATTTGTACATATACAAACACATACATACACACTCTCAATAAATTTCAAAATGCAGAATTTATTTTGGCCAGTTTCCTAAACTCTAATCCATAATAAATTACCAGAAAAAGAAGAGCAAATTATATTTTATTCACTAGAAAATTGTTAAACATCTTTCTATGATAAATCCTGAGTAAAATCAAAGTAAAAACCGAAAGCATAAACAAGCTGTAAGACAAGTAGAACAAGACCTACAGGATGTGGTAAAAGCAATACACAGGAGAAAACCTAGTCTTGAGAACATTAAAATTAAAAATAAAGTACCTAAGTATTTAAATTAAGCTTAATAAAGGAAAATAAATGCAAAGAATGAGTAATAAAAGAAGATAGCTATAAAACAGAAAACTGAAAAAAATAATAAAGATTTGATTATTAAAAACAAACCAATATTGTCTTCCTAAAAGACAAATTAGTCAAATCTTGAGCAAATATATGAATGGAGAGGAAGTCAGCATCTCTGAAAAGTTAGGCACAGATGAAAGACAAGGATCTTACATGGTGAGCTATGAGGTTTGAACGGAAGGTGTGGGGGAGCCAGGCTAGGGATTTTTAAGAAGAGGAATGACTTGGTCAGATTTGCAGTTTCCAGAGAAATCCCTCTTGTAGCAATGTGGAAGGAAGAAAGGAGAATGAAGTTGGAGATACCAGCAAGCAGCAAGAACCCAAAGAAAGCAGTGGCTGTGGAGATAGAGGCAGGAGAAGGATTCAAGAGATATTTAGAAGGACTTAAATGCACGCATTGGTGACTGACTGGATGGCAGGTGGAGGGAGAATGGAGGAGAAGCAGATGTGGAGGGTACATACAGACAAGGGGTTCCTGTTTGGACATGCCGAAATTGAGAAGCCCTTAAGTCATCCTGATAGAGATGGTACGTGCCCTTCAGGCACTCAGATAGACAGTGTGGAGGAGGCCTGCTTAGATTCATAAAATTGGGTTTAATCTGGATCCAAAAGTAATTAATTGTGGGTCCAAGAATGGATGTCATCTTTGGTGCCAATTTGAATCAGTTTGTAGTGTTAGATTGAAGACACGTGCAGAAGGACTGTGAGGCCGAATCAAGGATGTGCAGGTGTAAGTACCAGGGCAAATCAGCGACATGTGCCACACTTGTAGGGATAGGGGAAGTGGCAGTCAGGCAGCACATTGGCTGACCCTGGTATAAACAGAACTGAAGTCATGGGCGAGGACAGTTTGCCCCCAGACAGCATGTAGCGTGAGAATAAAATAGTGATCAAGAGGAATCCAGTGAATCCCCAATTTTTAAGAAGCAGATAAAAGAAGGTCAGTCTTAACATAAGTTCAGCAAGTTTTATGATTCTAGGTTTTTAGGCATTTCCCCTTTATCACAAGGAGTCTTGACCAGTTGCCTGGGTTGTGCCTGTATGGTAATGAGGCACATGTTACATGTGTCCATTGACCTCACTGCTTTACAGTTACAACAGCAAGAATTTGAGCTGGAAGAATTGTTAGCAACAGTGCTTGGGGTTTATTGTCCCATTTTTTATTTATACAGAATTTCTATCCATTGCCTTTTGCCCTTAATCTAGCTTCATATATTGGAGATCTAATAACTATGGCCATAAACTAATTTCCAGAACAAATACTTTCTTTGGCTATCCTTAATACACTGCATTGATTTTTTTCTCCATCCAATAAAGACAGATTTAATAACCTACTATCCTTATTAAATTTAAATTAGTTTAAAAATATATGTACTAATGTTGAGTTCTGAAGGATAAGAAAGCCTAGATCAGAAGTAGGGGAAAACTTTCATAAACATCTGGAACATTCAGTCAAACTGACCAATACAGTATTCTAGAATCTTAATATGTAGCTCATGAATGAGAAAACATTTTACTTGTATTACACTATTATGGGAAAGGCTTTGTATTAGAAACTAGCATAGGTTTTAGTCTGCAATGTGTCAAACAACTGCTGTGAAACTTTGAGTTAGGTATTTGGTTGTTGAGTCAACCAGTATATCCCCATTTTCCTGGGACTTTCCTGGATCTAGCGTCAAAAGCACGGCATCCCAGGAAATCTCTCAGCCCAGGTCAAACAAGGATAGTTTGCTGGTCACCATGTTGGTTGCTCTCTCTGAACCTTAACTTTCTCATTTGTAAAATGATATTACTACATTAGATGATCTATAAAATTCCAGTCAACTCTAAAATCCTACAGACAGATAAATTACATATGCAAAAAGGTGGCTACTTGCATGATACAAGTTTTCCTGTAGCAAAAGGCCAAGTTTTCAAATATACTGCCTCTGCTACATAGCATGGTATTTTATATTCCCAAAATTCAATCCCACAAGATTACACAAGTGGGTCAAACCCTTACTAACACAGAATAAGATTATCACTTTTCAGGAACCTAAAGCCAGGACAAACTAGGAGAGGCAGAAGCAGGGGCTACTGACTAGAAGAGAGACTAAGAGGCTTCCACTTCACAGTTCTGCCCGTCCTGACCCAGCCAACGTCAGATCCCTTTCCCTTTATTCAGTGGCCATCAAAAACAAAGGTCCTGAATAGAGATCAGACTCCAATTGGAATGAAAGCTGGGCTTTGTGAAGCCACGAATACCACATGCAGTGACCTGGTTTGTATAGGGCTGGTCAAAATAAAAGGGATGCTTTCTCTAGCCGAGACCAAAAGGTTGCTTATCGCTGTGACTCCCAGAATTGAGTCACTCGGAAAGATAACAGGTCTAAAAGACTATATGTGGTTGTTTTCCCTGGCCCCCTCTTCCCATCAAGAATCACCTTCAGACAATTTTGTTCTTCTGAGACACAAGCAGTTCTCAGTAGGACAATCTGAGTTTTAATAGTATCATCTCTCCGGGAGACACTCCACAGCACTGAAAGAAAACTGACTTGTCCTTTTGTGATAAAGAGTTTGTTAAGTCTAAAAATGTTTCCTGCAGGAAAATGACAAAGGAAAACTAACTGCAAGGCTTCAGGGTCCAATGGCTCATGCCTCACAACCACTGACTTGTTGGGCCAGCTAATAGCTGACAGGTGAGTCAGGCGTTCCTCCTACCTGGACTTCTCCCGCAGCCACAGAAAGGCTGCGGCGCTTTCCCAGGGCGCTGGGCAGTGGCTAGAACGCACGGGGGCACTGCTGGCGAATGCGCGCTGAAAGAACGGGAGATGGATTCAGAGATACATCCAGTTCCAGGAAGAGAAGAACATAATCATATAATTAGCATCTAGTAAATTAAAATATTAATACAGGAAAACAGAAGCAAACGGCAATACTTTGTCTACAGAGAACCAAATATTATAGAAGGTGGGTTTAAGTTTATGTTTCTCTCCTGCTCAAACAATAGCTTCCTATGTCCCATTCCAACAAACTCCAAAGTCTTTGGACTGGTAACATTCAAGATCTGCCAATATTTATTCCACCCTAGGCCATCAGCCTCATCTCCCACGTCTGAACGCAAACCTTGCTCTCTAACCACTCTCTTCCAACTCTTGTTCCTAGGCACACAGCAGCCTTCCCACCTCTGGGCCTCATTTGTACAATGCCTTCCGCCTGGACGGCCCTCCCCACCTCCGTCTCCCTCGTGGGACCCTGCGCACCCTCCAGTCTCCATCCCATCACACTGTCTTTCCTGAGCCCACGCTGACTGCTGCTGCTGAATTCTCATAGCACATATTGAAGTTGTCAAGAGAGCTTCTATTAGGCACTTGATAATCTACCGTTTGGGCTGTTTTTTCACACACATGTGTCTTGCCTCCCTAACTAGATGCCTTGAGGACAGTGACTTTTATACTTTGCATTTCCCTTCACTCTTATTAAATTGAACAACATAATTTATTGAGTTCTGCGTTAGGTCACAAGAGCATGCCCTTCCTGGAGATGAGGAAACATGCCTATTGGTCTGAAACAATTTAAAGGAAGACTAATTGAAACTAGAGTGATAATAATAGACTCCAGAGGACAATAATAGAAAATAAATAGATAATAATTGATAATAGGTAATTATAGTAAACTCCAGAAGGATTCTAAAATTCTGAAATTAGATACAACCAACAAGCCACTTGTCCTAGGCCAAATAGAAAATAGGATGGAAAATGTGGCAATAACCATTGACTGAGATGTGGAAATATTTACAAGTAATATTTACAAGTAATCAGTTGGGTTATAGCTTATTATGTCCAACATGGATTCTGAGGTATTATTAATTTTTTGTAGCAAATTGACATAGTCAACTAGTATTAAACGATGATCAGATTGAGGGGTCTACTGTGAACTAAGCCAAAGCTAGAGTAAGTTCAATTTCTTCCTTTCCATTTCCTTTTATCTTCATATTTTGTATTTTGGCAGAATTATTGAGCATATTTATTGCAAAATTGAAGGAAAATTAGAATCTGCAGGCAGATGATGAAATTTGCTCAATGACTACTGGCAAATTTTAGTTAAGACATGACCAAAAGTCTATAGGAACATAGACCGAAAGTTTAGAAATGAGCCTTCTCACCATGCTGGTAGGGTCTCACTATGAGATAGGTTGTTCATCCAGAGTCCACAGGGATCCCAGATGTCTTGCTTTTTCCTCTCTCTCTTTCTTCCTCTATTTTTAGTATCTCATTTTCTACAAGACATATAGAGCTGTGCTGCAAAGCAAAAGTAAATTTAACATGCACACTCAGCAGCACCGAATGTAAAACAGAGTCACCGTTAAGAAAGCGTTTTTCAAAAGGAGAGGAGCTAGATGATCAGCAGGAAGTGATCACTTCCAAGAAAGCACACTTGATTGAACTTTCATAAAATTACTTGACCTCTATGTGAGAGAGCATAAAGAAACTTGGGATTCATAAACTCTAGAACAATTTCTCTGATATGGCTCTTAAAGTGAATTTCTGTCCCTTCTTATGAAAATGAGAATGTCCACAACCTCAGACTAAAGACCAGGTCAGCCATATCTACATAAAAAGGCCTATAGGAAAAGAAATAGGGCTTCAAGGTAAATGGTTGCCCATAGTCAGACAATCCCAACAACATTTAACACATCTGCTCTCAGGAGCTCCGTGTTCTTCCTTCCCATCAGGCCTCCTCTGACCTTGAACTCCTCCCTGCTCAGGATAGATTATTTCTGCCATTTCAGTGGTGGTCTTTCCAACATCTGACAGTCCACCAGCTGTCCTATTACTTTGTCTACTTTTTCAGCATGCAACTCTACACCCACCCCATTCCCATCCTTCTCTGATAGAGAGCATTTGCTGATGTCTGGCCAGTGAGCTAGCGGCTCACCTCCTACGCCATTGCCCTTGCCCTTCATTTCTGACCTGCATCCCTCTCCTTGTCTCTTGCAGACTCCCCACAGCAATCCGCGGTGCTCAGGTTCCCAGACCGACCCACGCTTTCTCGGTTTCTGTAGCGCCTTCTCCTCTACTTTACTCAGATCTAAGCATTTTTGACAGGACATCCCACAAATTTCTTTTTCTCTCTCAACATATTTCTGTATTTCCTGAGTCTGTGTTTTCTACCTTCCTTCCCTACCTTTCTCAGGTAAAGTACCAGGCATTTTCCTGGTAGGGGAATGAACCCTTCCTTGTGTCTCTTTGATTCATCTACCTGGCTCCATTAATCATTCCCTCTCTCCTGTACCTCTCTCTTGCACCTCTGTCTGGCTCCTCACTCCTTGTTTTCTATCTACAATTATGTCTATATCTTTCCATTCTCATTTAAAAAATATATTTTTCAATGCTGTGTGATAGAAAAACATTGTAAATTTTATCTCCCGATTTCTTTAAAGCCCCTGGCCTTTCCTCCATTTAATTAGCAAAGGCATCACATATTTATTTCCTCAGGGAAGAGATGCTACAACAATAAAAAAAAATTGAGATTGTGGTATTTCTATTTCAAATGTCTAAACTAATTTGGAATGAATCATGGAAGTAAATATGGGGCAATGGATTTTGGAGAATATGAGAGGAAAAGCCATGGAATGGGAGGAAATATGCACATAAATATTTCTAACTGGATTTATGTGTATAACATATTACTATAAAGTATTCATAAACTCAACAATAAAAAGATAGATAAATCCATTTGTTTTGGGGTTTTTTTTTGAGACAGAGTCTTGCTCTGTCACTCCAACTAGGTGTGCCATGGCGTCATCACAGCTCACATCAACCTCAAACTCCTGGGCTCAAGCCATCCTCCTGCCTCAGCCTGCCAAGTAGCTGGGACTACAGGTGTGCACCATGATGCCCAGCCAATTTTTCTATTTTTTGTAGATTTAGGGTCTTGCTTTTGCTCAGGCTGGTCTCAAACTTCTGAGATGCACGTCGGCCTCTGACAGCGCTAGGTTTACAGGCGTGAGCCATCACACCTGGCCCATAAATCCATTTTTAAAAGACAAAAGTCTTGACCAGGCATTACACAAAAGAAGATATGCAAATATCCAATAAGACCATCAAAAGTTGCCCAAAATTATTAGTCATCAAAGAAATGTAAATTAAAACTACAATGAAACACATATCACACTCACTTAGAATGAATAAAATAAAAAAGACTGGCATACTGTTGGCGGCAATGTACATTAATATGGCCATTACAGAAAACAGAATGGAGGTTCTTCAGAAAACTAAAAATAGAATTACCAATGATCTAGCAATCCCACTTTTGAGTGTACAGCTAAAGGAAATGAAATCAGTATGCTAAAGAGATAGCCGCACTCCCATATTCACTAGAGCATTATTTGCAATAGCTAATATGTAGAAGCAACTAGTGTCCATCATCAGATGTACGAAAAAAGTAGTCTATGTACACAATGAAATACTATTCAACCTCACAAAAGAAGGCAATTATGTCATTTGCAATACCATGGCATGGATGAACCTTGGAGGACATGATGGTAAGTGAAATAAGCCAGGCACAGAAAGACAAATAGCACATGTTCTTACTTACATGTGGAATCTAAAAAAGTTGAAGTCATAGAAGCAGCAAATAGAATGGTGGTTACCAGAGCCTGGGAGAGGGGGTGGTTGGGGAAAGAGGAAATGTTGGTCAAAGGGTACAAAGTTTCAGACTGGAGGAAACTGTGATCCATTGCACAGAATGGCGACTATAATAAATAATAATGCATTATATATTTCAAAATTGCTAAAAGAGTAGGTTTTAAATGTTTGTACCACAAAAAAATGATAAATATGTGAGGTGATGAATGGAATTAGCTTGATTTAAACATTCTACAATGTAAATATATCAAAATATCACACTGTACCCCATAAATATTTATAATTATTTTTTAATTAAAAATAAAATTTAATAAAGAAGATTTCCATGTAACATTCTCATATCCTGCTAATGGGAATATAAAACTATTTTGAAGAATATTTTGGTAGTTTCTTATAAAGTTAAACAGAAACCTATCCTATGACCCAGAAACTCCATTCAAGGTCTTTTCCCAAGAGAACTCAAAAGTCTACAAAAAGACTTGTGTAAGAAGCTTTATTATAGTAGCTAAAAACTGGAAACAATCCAAACATCAATAGCTGAATGGATAAACAATTTGTAGTATATCTATACAATGGAATGATACTCAGAATTAAAAAGAAGCAAATTATTGCTATACTCAATAATATGAATGAATCTCAAAAACAATATTTAGAGGGGAAAAAATGAGAAACCAGATAGTACATGCTATCTAATTCCATTTGTGTGAAGTCCAGAACAAGCAAATTTAACCTATGTGGAGAGGAGTTGGAATAGTGGCAATCTCTGGGATTGGAGAAAGGAGGGGCCTGACTAACAGTGTGAAGGGAACTTTCTGGGGTGACAGAAATGTTCTCTGTCTTAATAGAGATGTGGATGTCACAACTATATGCATTTGTCAAAATTTACTAAGCTGAAAACTTAACATAAATCCATTTTCTTATATGTAAACTATATCTCTATAAAAATAATTAATAAAAGCTAACTCAAAAGTAGAAAAAAAGTGAAAATGTATGTTTGTATGTATAATCCTCAAAGATTGCACCTGGGTCTTACTTGCAGAATATTTTACATCCAAGGATTCAGATCATGCAGGGACTTTATAAAGCTTGGTTAATTGTTAATTTCAAGGCATGCTCCTACAAGCCAAACTATCTCAGCCGCAAAGTGGAGTTCATCGTACTGGGGAGTCTGACATTGCTGTTTGAAAGTATCGATATTAAAGCGAAGGAATGAGCTTTTTTCTTTTTAGTCATTGAGAGGTTGATTAAAAACAAAGCACTTAAAGAAACCACTAGATATTAAGCTCCAGGATGACTGAGCCATGTCGGTCTATAACCTCTATTTCTAATGCCCAGCACACAGCTGAACGCCTCGTCGGCATTCAGTGAATGTTTGTGGAATAAATGAATAAGTCAGGATAGGTAGAAAAAAGAAGCCAACAGAATTACTGGAAAAGAGAAAAGGGTGTGATCCCCAAAGACAGTCAATACAATAATTGCTATTAGACTTGTAGTTATATTATACAGACTGTTTTATGGACTTTGCATCATTATCATTTTCTAAATATGTCATAGAAAGAAGAGAGTGCTAGATAATAGAATGCCAAATATGTGGTTTAATTATGCATGAATTATTTAAAGTTGATTTTAGTCACGTAGGATTGAGATGGGAATAATAGGAAGATCTTTAGAACTTTTTCTTTTCTCATCAATTTTTTATTTATACTTGATACATAATTGTACATGTTTGTGGAGTGCAGTCTGAGGTTTCAATGCATGTATACAATGTACAGTGATCGATTCAGGGTAATTACCATATCCATCACTTTAAACATTTAGGGTTTCTTTGTGGTGATAATGTTCAAAATCTCTTCTAGGTATCTGCATTGTTCTTTACTATTGTCACCCTGCTGTGTAATACAACACCAGAATTTATTCTTTGTAATTGCTACTGAAATACCCATCTACAGGTGAATGGATCAAGGAAATGTGGCATATATATGATACACACACACACACACATACACACCTATAATGAAATGCTTTCAGCCACAAAACAGAGTGGAACCACGTCATTTGTGGCAACACAGATAAACCTGGAGGACATTACGTTAAGTGAAGCAAGCCAGGCACGGAGAGGCAAATACTCGCACGCGGAATCTAAGCAGCTGACAGAAGCAGAGAGTAAGTAGCACAGCGGTTACGAGTCCGGGGAAAGAGGAGGGATGACAGGGACAGGCTGGCAAAGTGGCAGCCAGCATTCCGGCGCGGCTTCGCAACCCCGACACGGAGGCGCGGGCTGGTGGCCGAGTCGCCCGGCCCGCCAGGCCGCCAGGTGGCCGCGTTCTGCGCGCTGGCGGCGACGCGAGGCAGGCGGGCCTGTCCCGCTGTGCCCGCGCGTACCCGACAGGCCCCACGGCGAAGTGCTCCGGGGCAGGCGGCCTGTCCCGCTGTGCCCGCGCGTACCCGACAGGCCCCACGGCGAAGTGCTCCGGGGCAGGCGGCCTGTCCCGCTGTGCCCGCGCGTACCCGACAGGCCCCACGGCGAAGTGCTCCGGGGCAGGGCCCTGGGCCTGTCCCGCTGTGCGCCCGCGTACCCGACAAGCCCACGGCGAAGTGCTCCGGGCAGGCGCCTGTCCCGCTGTGCCCGCGTACCCGACAGCCCCACGGCGAAGTGCTCCGGGGCAGGCGGGCCTGTCCCGCTGTGCCCGCGCGTACCCGACAGGCCCCACGGCGAAGTGCTCCGGGGCAGGCGGCCCTGGGCCTGTCCCGCTGTGCCCGCGCGTACCCGACAGGCCCCACGGCGAAGTACTCCGGGGCAGGCGGCCCTGGGCCTGTCCCGCTGTGCCCGCGCGTACCCGACAGGCCCCAGGCGAAGTGCTCCGGGGCAGGCGGGCCTGTCCCGCTGTGCCCGCGCGTACCCGACAGGCCCCACGGCGAAGTGCTCCGGGGCAGGCGCCTGTCCCGCTGTGCCCGCGCGTACCCGACAGGCCCCACGGCGAAGTGCTCCGGGGCAGGCGGCCTGTCCCGCTGTGCCCGCGCGTACCCGACAGGCCCACGCGAAGTGCTCCAGGGCAGGGCGGCCCTGGCCTGTCCCGCTGTGCCCGCGCGTACCCGACAGGCCCCACGGCGAAGTGCTCCGGGGCAGGCGGCCTGTCCCGCTGTGCCGCGACCCGACAGGCCACGGCGAGTGCTCTGGGCAGGCGGCCTGTCCGCTGTGCCCGCACGTACCGGACAGGCCCCACGGCGAAAGTGCTCCAGGGCAGGCGCCCTGGCCTGTCCCGCTGTGCCCGCGGTACCCGACAAGCCCACGGCGAAATACTCCGGGGCAGGCGGCCCTGGGCCTGTCCCGCTGTGCCGCGCTACCCGACAGCCCCACGCGAAGTGCTCTGGGCAGGGCGCTTTCCCGCTGTGCCCGCACGTACCCGACAGGCCCACGGCGAGATGCTCCAGGGCAGGCGGCCCTGGCCTGTCCGCTGTGGCCGCGTGTACCGACAGCCCCACGGCGAAGTGCTCCGGGGCAGGCGGCCTGTCCGCGTGCCCGCGCGTCCGACAGCCCCACGGCGAAATGCTCTGGGCAGGGCGCTGTCCGCTGTGCCCGCACGTACCCGACAGCCCCACGGCGAAGTGCTCCAGGCAGGGGCCCTGGCCTGTCCTGTGCCGCGCGGTACCGACAGCCCACGGCGAATACTCGGGGCAGGCGGCCCTGGGCCTGTCCCGCTGTGCCCGCGCGTACCCGACAGGCCCCACGGCGAAGTGCTCCGGGCAGGCGGGCTGTCCCGCTGTGCCCGCCGTACGCCGACAGGCCCACGGCGAAGTGCTCTGGCAGGCGCCTGTCCCGCTGTTGCTGCCGCGCGTACCGACAGGCCACGGCGATGCTCGCGGGCAGCCGGCCTTCCGCTGTGCCCGCTGCGGTATCGCGACAGCCCCACGCGAAGTGCTCCAGGGCAGCGGCCTGGGCCTGTCCCGCTGATGCCCGCCGTACCCGACAGCCCACGGCGAAGTGTCGGGGCAGGGGGCCTGTCCCGCTGTGTGCCCGCGCGTAGCCGACAGGCCCACGGCGAATGCCTGGGGCAGGCGGGCCGTGTCCCGCTGTGCCCGCGCGTACCCACAGGCCCCACGCGAGTGCTCCGGCAGCCGTCCTGTCCGCGTGTGCCGCGCGTTACCACAGGCCCACGGCGAATTGCTCCGGTCAGGCGGCCTGTCCCGCTGTGCCCGCGCGTACCCGACAGGCCCCACGGCGAAGTGCTCCGGGGCAGGCGGCCTGTCCCGCTGTGCCCGCGCGTACCCGACAGGCCCCACGGCGAAGTGCTCCGGGCAGGCGGGCCTGTCCCGCTGTGCCCGCGCGTACCCGACAGGCCCACGCGAACGTGCCCGGGGGCAAGGCGGCCTTTCCCGCTGTGCCGCGCGTACCGACAGGCCCCAACGGCGAAGTGCTCCGGGCAGGGGGCCTGTCCGCTGTGGCCGCGCGTACCCGACAGGCCCACGGCGACAGTGCTCCGGGCAGGCGGCGCTTCCCGCTTGGTGTGCCCGCGTACCCGACAGGGCCCACGGCGAGATGCTCCGGGCAGGCCGGCCGTCCTCAGAATAGTCTGCAGCTAAGCCTATCAGGGAGAAAGGAAAAAGGAAGGCGAGAAGATGGGAGCAGGACTGCAGGATGAAAATTAGACTAGCCGGAACAGGGGACGACAAAGACAAGACTGAAAGAAGACGGCAAAGGAGCCGCGGGGCTGCGGCGAACACCGCCCGGGCCTCGCCCCGGCGAAGCCGCACGGGCTGGCCCCGCACCTGCCCCTTCCTGCGCCCACAGCCGGCGGGCGCTCCCGCGGCCTCCTCCCAGTCGCCGGGCGGTGCCGGTGGACAAACGGAGCTAGACCTGGAGGCGGTGGTCGAATCCCGTGGGGCGGCGCATGCGGGATGGTGGAGGCAGCACGCGCATGGGTGGAGGCAGCAACGCGCATGCGGTGGGGAGCAGCACGTGCATGCGGTGGGCGGGGGGAGGCAGCACGTGCTATGCGGTGGAGCAGCACACGGGCAGCAGGGGTTGGGCAGCGCGTGGATGGGATGGGCAGCACGAGGGTATTCGGGTGGTGGCCTGGGCATGCAGGTGGTGGCCAAGCACGTGGGCATGCGGGAGGGGGGGTGTGGTCAGCCACGCGGGATGTGGGGAGGAGGTGGGCAGCACGAGGGTATGCGGGGTGGTGCCCCCCCCCCCCCCCCACCCCCCCCCCCCCCCCCCGCCCCCCCCCCCGCCCCCCCCCCCCCCCCCCCCCCCCGCCCCCCCGCCCCCCCCACCCGCCCCCCCCCCCCCCCCCCCCCCCTCGTGGCATGTGAGGGGCAGCACGGTGGCATGCGGTGGGCGTGGGGCAGCACAAGATGCAGCGTGAGGTGGCAGCCGTGATGCAGGTGGTGGCAGCACGTGGCATGCGGGGTGTGGTGGCCGTGGCTTGGCGGGTGGGCACGTGCATGCGGGTTAGGGCAGCATGTTGCATGGCTGGGGCTGGAGGAGAGGGCCAGGACTATGGAACGAGTGGCCGGCAGTGCATGCGGGGTGCGGACAGCACTGATGGGGGGTGGAGGGCAGCACACGGATGCAGGTGGCAGCGGGTGGCATTGTGGGAGGTGGCAGCACGAGGATTCGCGGAGATGGGTGGCACGGTGATGCGTTGAGGGGCCAGACGTGGCTCGGATGTCAGCACGCGCATGTGGAGAAGTGGCAGCACGGAGGTATGTGGCCACGTGGCATGTGAGGATGTGGCAGCACGTGGCAGTGCGTGGCAGCAAAGGCATGCGGCGGAGGGGGTGGGCAGAGTGCTGAGGCGTGTCGTGGAGCACCATGGCATCGGACTGTGCTGGTGCACGTGGGCGCTTGCGCGGAGGGCCACTGGTGCATGCGGGTGTAGGCCAGCTAGTTGGCATGCTGGGGGGATGGAGGCCAGCACATGGACACGCAGTGCCGGCAGTTGGGCATCGGCAGCACGTGGGCACGCAGGAGGCAGGGTCGGCATGGAAGCACGCTGGGCAGGGGTCCGGCACGTAGGCACGCAGGGGGGGATGGTGCCGGCATGTGGGCACGTGGGGGTGGCACGTGGGCACGTGGTGGGGGCACGTGTGTATGGGGGAGCACGTGGGTATGCGGTAGGAGCACATGGGCATGGGGGCATGTATGCACGCGGGGGTGGGTGCCAGCATGTGGGCACGTGGGGGTGGCACGTGGGCAACGTGGTGGGGGCACATGTGCACGCGGGCCCTGCCTGCGGGAGGCCTCCCCCTCCTCCCTTACCACGCGCCCTTTCCCTTGTTCCTCCCCAGCGACACTCCCGCTGCCTCGCGCGCTGGCGCTGTGCGGCCACGCTGCGGGACAGCTCAAAGACAGCCAACTCCGGTCGGGAAGCGCTCCTTCTTTTATTTCCACAGAAGTATCATCAGCTCCATTTGTGCATTGTTTTAAAATCCATGTTTTCTTAAAATTTGAATCCTTTGTAATGTTTAATTCTAATCCTCCAATAAAAATTCCAAAAAGCCTGCCTTCCCCCACATCCAAACAGCTACGCGTCACAGTACCTACGGCTCTTCGTGACCTATTTAATCAGGCTCTGTTCCAGCATCCACACCGCCTCAGTCAGTCTGGCGTTTTTTCCACATCCACAAACGCCAGAACCATCTCAGAGTATTCAATACGCGTGCTCAAATCTCTGCCAGGGAATGTTTCACCTGCAGGGGACAGCGAGTGCAAACAGTGCCGCTGCACCCTCCGTGCGCAGGGCTGACTCGCTCGGGCTCCCCTTCTCCCCGTGCTGAGAGGGGAAGAGAGCAGAGAATTCTGTTGCCTATCCAAAAATCTGCACGGAGTTTCAGATTCAATGGGTAAAGAAAAAAATAAACCATTACCAAATGCCTCTTCTGTGCAAAACATTGATGCTAGGCGTTTTATTTACATTTTTTCCATTTAATCCTCAAAATACCCATTTGAAGTAAATAGAATTATTTCCATTTTATAGGCAATGGAACTGGAGCCCAGAGACGTCCAGTGTTAAGCAGGTAGGAGTTCCATCAGATTGCACTACACTGTGCTACTTCTTCAGTTCACGAGATGGTCAGATCAAACCCAAAAGAGGTAGCAAAGACAAACCTACTGAGAACCTGAATCTGCCCCTATTTTGGCTGGTGATTTCACAGGACTATGACAACGAAAAGGTAGCCATCTCTTCGTCTCCGAGCAGAGTGAGACTGCAGTGCAGGCACACCCCCTGGTCATCTGTGTGCCAAGGCCACCAAGGACACAGGCGTTGGGGGTAGGCACCTGTCTGGGTACCAGTTGGCTATGTCATGTTGGGGTTATTGTGCACTTATTCATGCATTCATGCACAAATACATTCATTCTACACATATTTATTAAGAACCTACTATGTGCCAAGCGTGCTTCTAGATTCTGAGAATATGGCAGTGAACAGAACAAGCCAGGCCATCACAGAGCCTACATACCCAGAGACTGTAAAAATTAATGCCTCTACTTTCTTCCTGTGTGTAGAAATAATAGTACCTCCCATGAATAGTACCTCCTTTATGAGATTGTGCTAGAGATTAAATAAGTTAATATTTAGTGCTTGCCACACTAATAGTGCTTACCACAATATCAAGCACTCAATAAATGCTGATTATTATTAATATTTTAAAATGAAAATCCTTACCTCTGGCACAAATGGAGCTAAAATCAATATAGGTGACAACAGTGGAAATTCTGGTATATTGAGATGGTGGTGGGAGGATGAAGAACAATTGTCCCCTGAAGTATCAGGAGTAATCTGTCACATTTAGTTGGGACTGGAGGACTGTAATGTGAGTTACTTGGCTATCATTCATTTGAACGCTAATAGAAATGCCAGGCTGCATCGAGAGTCTCATTTCCTTGCAAATTTCAGTGTGCAAAGTAGTCCTGGGGTTTATTTTTGCTTAGTACAGAAAATTAAGGTCTTTTCAGAAAAAGCAAAGTATAGGTGTTCCAGTAATTATGCTGAATAACCCGAGAGAGAGCTTTTCTACAATACCTTTTGAAAATCACAGATTTTTTTTTTTCTTTCCTTTTCTCAGAAAGCTGGAGCTGTATCTAATACGTTTTAGAGGTTTCGGGACTGACCGGAGTGTACAGAAAGATGCCTTGATCCGTGAAGGTTTCCTAGCCATTCCCAGGACTTTCCAGACTCAAGGCGTCATTGGCGCCACTCAGACAGCCCCAGGAGAGCATAGGAGTCAGCCCAAGTTTCAGTAGTCAACTGCCTAAAGTTAAGGGGAAAGACTGGCAAGAAATGAGCCACAGATACAAGAAGCTTAATAATCTGCCCATCATCGCAGGTAATAAAATGCATCTCCCAGGCTGTGATTCCAATCTCTCTCTTTGATTGCAAACCTTGGAATTTTAAAAAATTATAAGATTTTTTTCAGTTCATTTCTTAGTGGTGTTCTTCATTTAAAAACGGGGAGGGGGGTTGTTTTATTTCAAACCTACTCATTGTAATTTAAAAAAGAACGAACGAAAGAAAAGAAAAGCAAATCTTTTAATTTAGCCTGTGCCTGAAATAAATATTTATTTGTTGATCTATCATTAGTTCAGGGTTAGGAAGCTAGTTTATAATCATAGTTTTTGATACAAGTTTCAATTTGGTTTAAATTCCTGCCTAAAAGGTATTTAAAAAGACACAAAAGTGAAGTAAATTCTAAATAAGGACAATGAGGAAGAACAGAAATGAATTCTTTAGAAAACATTTTCTACCGAACATAATCAATAATAAAAATCCTGGTTATAACTTAAGAGTTACATAATATTTTCATTCACAGGAATCTCCTTTATCTTTACATAAAACAATGCAATTATGACTTCCCTGTCTCTTCAAGTCCACAAAACAGAGCCAAGAGCCCCAGATATTTTCTGTGTCTGTAGGCCAACCCCTCCAAAGAGGTAGAACATTTTGGGCTGAGGCTTGGGAGGCCTGCAGGCCTGCCTCATAAGAGGGTCTCTGAGGGATCATTTCAACTGACTGCGCAAGTGCAGTTTCTTGGCTGGAAATCAGTGCTGTGTTGATGTTATGCTGGTTTTCAACCTATCCGTTGTCTGAGCTACATGGAGGTGTTCACAGGAGTCACCTGGCTGAGCCATCTAAGCTGACTCTCATGAACTGCAAGTCATTCTTCCAGAATCTGGATGCCAGATGGGCTGGTCCTTTGATAGAGAAATTAAAAATCACTGGATTTTCTGCATGTAATGTTTGTGACAGCATCCCTAGCTGTTTCTGCCAGTACTTCCCAAGAAATAGTCCAGGCTTTTAACAAAGTGTGAAAGGAAAGATAAGATACTGACTGTGAAACCTTGAGGTAGGCTTAATTAAGACCATGACTCTGCCCATAAACAGAAATTGTGAGGACGCAATAGAAATTAAACACAAAGAACCATTATTTACTCAGGAAAAGTATGCTAACATATTTGCCAAGGGGGGGAAATAAAGATGTGCTTTTTCCTACAGCGTAGGAAGGCATCACAGATTTGGCAGAGTGACCCTTAGAGGTCAGTCTCGTGGAGGGCAGCTACCAGGCTAAGCCACAAAGCAGCCTTTGCGTTCACTGCCCGGAGTACACTTGTCCAAAGCCACTGATGAGAAGGCACCGATCCCAGCTCTGAGGCCTGCAATCAAGCACCAGAGTTCGACTCCAACGGTCTCATACGGAAGAGGCTCTGTGGTGTCGCAAGACCCGAGTTGGAGTCCTGGTTCTGTGACCTTTGGTACGTCATGGAGCTTGTTTGCGGGTAAAATTAGATCATGCAACGTGAGCAGCCCTGTGTGCCCGCTGCCCAGTCGGCCCGCGTCAGAGCTCAGGGTCTGGCCGTGCCTAGAACTGGTGTGGCGAATCCCAAGTCCATTGCGTGAGTTGGTTTGCACACAAATAAAGGGTAGCTAAGTTATTAACTTAAGCAGGAATTTCGATGGGGAGGAAGAAGGAAAATAGGATTATGGAGAAAATTATGTCTAATCTCCAGCCCCGAAGCTCATGGCCAAGTGGCTGGAGACAGAGGCCGAAGGGACAGTTTTACTCCAAATTTTATGAGGGCTCAGCCCCAAGCATGAGCACGCCTGAAAATACATGACGCTTCCCAGAAATCATGGAGGGATTGGGAAAGAGGAAAGAGAGGGTTGGGATGTTTAGCAGCGATGTTGGAAGTGGATCAGAGCCAGGGAAATTAGGTTAAAAATGTTAACATGACTTTGTTCTCCCCATACATGAAAGGCCATTTAATCCTCATGACACCAGGAGGGGGTAAATGTTATTGTCCCCTTTCGCTCTGTTTCTGAGTTTCAGAAACTAGATAGACAAAGTTAATGCTGTTAACTGTGCATAATAAGATTTGCGTTCTTTCCAGTAAGTAAATCACTCTGTTGTTGAGCATTAAGTCCTGTCATTTGCCTATTTACAGCTGTAAAATTCTTAAAGGAAAAAGAAAAAAACAGACAGACAACTGAAAGGGGGTGCTCAAATTGTTTTAGATACAGAAGAATTAATAATGCCAAGAAGAAGGTGAGCAGGGACTGGGTTTGAGAACAATCATAGACGTAAACATCAGGAAGCTCAAATTTTTATGCTTTCTGTTTCAACACTTTCCTTTGTTAGATTCACAAGAAAACACAGTGGAAATTCTGACAGGGAGATTCCCCTCTCTCTGTTCTCTTCCAAAGGTCAAGCACTTTCTTTATCTAAGTGTGGTGTACTTGGGTTGCATGGAAATTGGTGAGCTTGGCTTAATCGTTGATCACTCTGGCACTTCAAGTTGGAGATTTAAGCCATTTTGGCCGATGCCTTGGTTTGCCTTGAAGGAACACAGTAAGCAGTTCTCTCAACAAGCAGTTTTGATTATTTTTAATGTGATGACCTCAGGTTGTAAAGAAAAACCTCAACAAGGGTGAGATACTCCCTAGCAGCTTTAGTTTTCTCTCGGGTCACGTCTGAGATATCTGGATTTCTTCAATTCTGAATGGAACCACACAAATCTTGCCTTTCCCGGTTGGAATTTCAGTCGTTTATCAAGAGCAGAGAGTCCTTTTCATGTTTCAGAGATACAGTTTATGTTGTGTGGGTCCAGGATCACCTTTCCTGGAGTGTGAGGCCAGCTCTGCCGAGGGAAATTATTAAGCCTATTTGATTTAGAAAAAATACATATAATTGACTCAAAAGGTAGTCTTTGTACTTATGTTTATGCAGCTCTTTGTACTTATTTCACATCCATTTTCACCAAGTACCTTCACATCATTTTCTCACTTGATTCTTACAAATTCTCTGTAACGTGGGAAGGTCAAATAGCACTGTCCTCCCTTTACAGATAAAGAAACTCAAGCCCAGGAAAGCTTGATTGATATGAGGAAGCTCTTATCCTGACCAACGGCTGAGGTATTATCATTTTTGTTTCATTCATGGATTCATGAGTATTCTGTTTACTTATTGCTATGTAACAAACACCCCCAAACTTAGTGCTTGCAGATTCAGAGCATCAAGAATTTGGATGAAACGCGGTGCGGATGGCCTGTTTCTGCTCCTTAATGTCTGGGCTCAGCGAAGAAGAATGGCTGGAGGAGAAAACTGCTAGGCTTGAAATCATCTGGAGTCTCTTTGCTCGCGTGTCTGATGCCTGAGCAAGGGTGGCTGGCACGCTCAGCTGGGCACTGTAACTGTAAACCAGAGCACCTACACGTGGCCTCTCCGCGTGGCGTGGGCCCTTCCCAGTATGGCATCTGTGTTGAGGAGCACCCCAAAAGGAAGCAGCCAGGAGGGAGTGTTCCTGGGAGGCAGGCCGGCGCTGGACGGCCTCAGATGCACGTCACACAGCCTCCCTGCTGCTGCATTCTCCGAAGCCAGATTCGGGGTAAGAGACTCTTGGCAGACAGCTCCCAGGGTTACATTCCAAAGAGCACGTGGGGTGGGAGAGGCTATGGCAGCTGTCTTTGGAAAACTCAGTCTTCACAGTTAGCACAATACATTTCCTATGTCAATAACAGGGAATGGAAGAAAAATTCCCGAAGTTGGGCTCTAAGGGTTATAAAAGAAATAAGCAAATAGCAAGAGCTTTCCTATAGACCAGCAATAAATAGGTAAGAAAATTGGGGGGGGAGGGGGAATGATCCCATTTATATCAGTGCTACAAAATATAAAATAATTTAGAAAAGGGTTTGCAAATTATGTTTAGCCATAAGAAGAAAACATTAAATGTTCTGGGAGATATTTTTAAAAAATAAAATGGAGAGATATATTATGTTTCTTTATAATGTCATTTCTGACCAAATTCCATATATCATATTCCTGAATAATGTTTCTTCTCCAAGTGTAACTCAATTCCAAGAAAAAAATCTAACATAGAGATATATGAATTTAATAAAATTAATGTAAAATGCGTCAGGAAGAATGAAATTGTTAGAATAGCCAATAGCCTTATTAAATAAAGAATAAATAAAGAAATGTAAAGCATACCAGGTATTAAAATATGGCAAAGTGTCTATAATTTAAATAAAGGAATTTTTGGTAGTCCATTGGGTAACCATACACCTGAGATCGTCCCAGGTTATACCTCTTGTCCCAGTATAATTATAATTCCTTTTACCCCTAAAAGTGTTTTAGATGATAAATTGTATGGCCACCTTACAATTAATCATATATATGTACCTCTACTCCTTCCCCAAACCCTACTTAAATGGCAGTAAATATATTTTCTAAAGATTAGTCACAAGGTCCGAGAGGAGATGGATGGATGGGTGGGTACACAGGTAGGGGGATAGAAAGATAACTAGATGGAAGGATAGGTAGATGACTAGGTATATATATAACAAGTAGGCCGATCATTCAAGCAAGAAGAAGAGGATCAAGCAGTGATAGGTGTGTTGTGGTGAGAATTAAAATTGGGTACACTGACCAAGAGTTTCCTTGGCTATTTTTGGAAGAAAATGTTCTCTGAGGACATTAAATATAAATTGACATTTGAATGGCAAGAAGGAGCAAGTCATTCAAAAACTAGTACAAAGGCCATAAGCTAAGACTAAATCTAGCTTGTTTGAAAAACTTAATGCTTATGTATCTGAAGCTTTGTACCTATCTAAGGTGAAGTCTGGGGGTAGGTCAGATCACTTAGGGTTTTGTAAGCTAGAGTAAGAAGTCTGGATTTCATTCTGAATGAAATGTGAATCAATTAAAAATTTTAAGTGGAGGAGTAACAGCTCATCAACATTTTTATATAGGGAAGGTACGGAGGATGAATTGTGGAGAGACAAGAGTGGAAGCTGGCTGCTGGATCGGGTGGCTATTGCAGTGGCCCCAGCAGAAGCGAACAGTGTCGTAGGCAAGAAGGATAGAAAGAGAGTGTTTGGATCAGAAGTATTAACAGGGCTTGCAGAAGCCACAAAGCAAAAGATTGACAGATGCAGCTATATGGAAATATAAATCTTGTCTATCAAATGGACTATAAACAAAGCTAAAAGTTAAAAAATAAATGAAGGAAAAATATTTGTAATGTATGTAACAAAGGATTAAAATAAAATATATGTAGAATATATATGAAAAGGATTTCGTGTCCAAAATATATTTTTAAAAAGCTATAAATCAATAATAAAAAGACAAACAACCCAATAGAAAAATGTACAGAGTTATAAACAAATAAGTTACTGAACAAAATACAAATGGAAATAACATAAATAAAAACATCCAACCCCATCAAAAAACAAAGACGTAGGTAATAAAATAATAAATCACTTTAATCTCTCTGACTAGAAAACTTAAAAAAATAAAATTTAAAATACAATGAAAAAGAAAAACATCCAAGTTTAAATATCCTGTATTGATTCAGAGTACTGGTGGGTACAAATGAATATGGAAATTTGGACAGCAGTTTGTCTATTAAGTTTTTTAATTGTGAAATTCTCCAGGTATTTTTTCTAGAGATATACTTTCATATGTGTACACGAAGGTATACACAAGAATGTTTATTACAGGGGTATTTGTAATGGAAAAAAGAGAGAGAGAAAATCATCTCTTTGCTCATGTTTAGTGACACTCACCCCAGAACATACTGTGAAGATTTTTAAAAGCACATCGTCCAACATCGATATGCATGGACTTACCTGGGAAAGCTCTATGATGTTCTTAGAAGAGAAACATCAAGTCACAAAATAATATGGAGTTTGGTTTTATTTACATGGGGAAAACTAAAACCATATGTGAATGTGACTGGATATACAGAATAATGTCTGGAAAGGTATACATTAAAATTTGAACAGTGGTTCAACAGTGGAGTAGAGGTTTAATTAATTACTTAGGGGAAGGCTGACAGGTGAAAAAGGGCTTTTGCTTTTTACTCTATACATGTCTACACTGTTTGAATGTTTAGTAGCACATATTTATGTGTTATTTGAGTAATTCTCTTAAAATATGTTTAAAGATTTACTGACTTTTGGAAATCTAGATACATTGGATTATGAAACTTAGAGTCTTGGCAATCATCAATACCTTAGAAAGAATTACGTCAACACTCATAGAAGGGGTTTCAATGCTAAGCAGTTGTGAAACTGCAGAGGAATTTAAATTTAATACTTTTTACTGAATAAAGCGCACGAGAGTGCAGTCCGATGCAGAGTCTAGTCAAATGGCGTCAAAAACATCTAAAGGAAGAGGAAGGGAGAAGAGTGAAAATAAATAAAACATCTAAAGGACGTGCTCCAAGCAGGAAAAGAGTCCAAGACTTGGAAGGGTGGAAGGAGAAAAGCAAAGACTTGAATCTGTAACCTTTCCGGGTCTGATTTCCCTCATCCATGAAATGAAGTATTGGTCAAAACAGCATTTCTAACTCTTTTATTTTTTTGGAAGGGTGGAGGAAGGAACAGAACACTTGTGTGTTGCCGAATGAAATCTCACATAAATCTCAGTATTTAAAACTGATAAAAGCAGCATTCCCCTAGTCAAAGGAGGTCAGGGGCCAGAGCCCTAGGGCAACGCTGCAGCCTCCTCAGGGCGTCCCGGGGGCCCTGAGGCCATGCAGAACACGCCTTACAAATGTCCAGCCCAGATCATTTCTGAAGCACACAGTTCTCATTTATGGATAGCATTTTATGGGACTCAGCCAAATGAAAGCCCAGTGAGTACAGAGTAAAGTCTAGATAAAATGTGGCCGAGGGTTATGGAAAGGGAGACCAAAGAGGAGCAGCATCTGGGACAGCTGTTAACATGTGCTAGGCGTTGCATAAGCCACGCAGATCCTGTGCATATGACCCTCACAACCACCCTGTTACTGTTATCTGGATGCAGATGAGGAAACCAGGCAGTAGGGAGGGAGCTTGCCAGAGGGCACACGGTGAGTAAGTACTGAGCTGGAATTCTGAAGGGTCTGCCTAGTTGGAAAGCTGGCGCTGGGCAGGCCTAGAGCATAGTGCCCTACCAGGAGAGAGGGATGGACAACTGCGCTGCGGGCTGAGGGCCGGGAAGGTCGCCGGGAGAGGGGCTGGAGGACTTTAACACCAGCTCCTCGCACTGCCCGCTGTGCGCGGCTATGCCTTCCACACTCTGTATGGGGAGCAAAGACTATCACATGGGAAACAAATCGAAGAAAATATAAGGCAGCATGTACCTAGCTATTCAATCACATAGTGTATTCTAGAATTTGGAGAACTTTGAGGGTTTTATTTGCTTTTTCAGAAGCAATGATCAATTTATACTACTCTTGTTCCACTCTCTCCAGATACTTGACAGAGAAAGGGCTCTGGTCAGTGCTGTGGTGAAGGCAGCGTGATGCCGCTCCTCTGAGCGTGCTGCGCACACACGCACGCTACGAGGAGATCCAACGACGTCTGCTTCTGTAGCTTCAGCAACGGACCTCAATGCCTACCTTAATAGGCAGGGCTTTTCTGCATGCTAGACATTTGGTATGCTAGTTGTCTCCACTTGTAACTTACCATTGCAATTGTTATTTACATTATTTTCCAAGTAACCAATTAGTAGAACAGCCAGACAAGAGCTGAGTCACCTTGGAAGAGAGCCCCCAAATCACCCCTGCGCAGCAAGCTTTACAGAAAGATCATCCTTTGTGGAATGCAAATAAAATGGCTTCCACCATTTATTAATGTTCCCAAGAACAATGATTATGAATCCAGTGATTTAATATTTAATTAGATTCAAACTGTTGAATCTAATTATACCAGGTGAACAGGATATCTGCCCACAGTTACCCAAGCCAGCCTGAGGCACAAGGCAACACTCCAGCTCCTCCTCAAATATAACCAAGAGTGTTTTGTCTCCTGCCTAGAAGGTTAGGCAAGATTTACACTGAATGCAGCTACAACAACCAATGACTGATATTTATGCTAAGCCAGGATGCACATTTTTCTGAGTCATCACATTCTCCAATTTTAAGGAGAATAAAATTTTGGCATGTCCCCAATCCAAACGGTTTAATTCAATTGTGTTTGTATGAAAGGAAATTTTAAATAATAGTAAAGAAGGAATGCACCAATGCTACTTCTTTGACTTTAAACGTAATTTCACTCTTGATACCATTCAGTACAAGCAACGCCAGCAGCGCTATAGGACAAACAGCACATGGAGAAGTCGGGACGACTCGTCCGTTCAGAATGGCAGCTAGGAACTGCGTCTATGCACTCACGCCTCCCCATGGCCGGTATGCCCTGGCGTGTAGTTAATGCTCAATAAGTGCTGGTTATTTAAATGAAAAAGACTTAGTTATGGGACTTCGTGTGATTAGTATAATATCTGCTTTTGTTTGAAATCAAACTTTGATTTTTCTTTTGAGTTTTAAAAGTTAGTAGATTCTTGCTCATTGCAATTAGAAGGCCCACCACAGATTAAATTTCTATTTCTTTTTTCTCTCTAATAAAAGAAGTTGAAAATGACCAAATGTCCTAGTTTCTATTGTTTATGACTGGAGTCTTAGTATAACTATGAGTAGTGCCCTTTCAAAAGTGGCGTGATTGTAGCTCACAGCAACCTCAAACTCCTGGGCTCAGGCGATCCTCCTGCCTCAGCCTCCCGAGTAGCTGGGACTACAGGCATGCGCCACCACGCTTGGCTAATTCTTATATTTTTCTGTAGAGGCAATCCTCACACTTCACCCTCCCAAAGTGAGTCGACGAACCAGGCCTTAAAATCACCTTTATTATCACTGAAGGCTATGCCTGGGGCCGATGATCCTCCCCCAAACAGAAGAAGCACAGCTGTGAGTACCTTGGAACAACTCTGAACCCTTTGTAGAAGATAAAACACTTCCGAGTTACCCAGGTATTCTCCCTCAGAGGAGAGCCTGCTGCAAATTTCTCAGTAGGAGGGAACTCAAACGGACTGCGGCTCAAGGGGCGAAGGGCGGTGCTATGGGTCTGTGAGCAGATGACATCAGCCCAGCCCCGCCCAGCAACCCCGGGCCCACTGGTGCGCTGAGCCACGCTGCACGGAAAGAGCCAAGCAAGCTCGGTGTTGAGAGAGGTATCGTGCTCCCTCTAAAGACCCCTTTGTCCTGGGCAGGGTCTAGATCAGTCTAGAACCACAGAGCCATCACAGCCACACTAAGCACCACCTGTCTGGAGGTCAGTCTTCAACAGTGCCACGAAACACAGGTGAGGCTCATTGTTTGAAGTAAATAAAATAATGGTAGCTTTAATAATGGTAGCTTCCACCAAATTTATGGAAGAATTTGCCCAAGACAGACAAAAAGAATAGAATTTAAAGGTCAACAAGGAATTTTAGATAAGCTTTCAGGAGAATGTCCTGATCACAGACAGAATGTCCACCCCTGGAGTTGAGATTCAAAGTGGCTCACAGTCAAATAGGCACATGATCTCTCTGGGTCCCAGAGTCAGGCAATCACTAGGATCTTCCACTTCTCAGTGACTCACGATAGTTTAGCTCTGGGGCTTGATAACAAAGACCAGAGGGCAACCTTTTTTTTTAATCTATAGAAAAATCTAGGCTCATGAAAAATGTAATTGATTCTTAGAAGTCTCACAGCAATGACATGTAGTATAGACCCTGAATTGTTTTGAGAATCATCTGAAACTGAGTTTTCTCTACACATAGGGGTATTAACAGAATGGCTTCTCCAAACACCAGGACTCCGAATATTGAAGGCCAACCAAACAGTGCCAACAGTGGGTGTAAACACCTCCCTCTTTCACCACTTGTCATCCAAAGAGATCTCTTTAGAGATAGAAGGGACAAGAATGTAAAGGATGTACAAAGAGCACTAAAGAATATATGGGAATTATGGAAAAAATACATGTTGAGAAGACTGATAAGAACAAAAAAGAAATGCAAGCTAAAAATATAAAGGAATGTAAGAATGATGCAAACAACAAACTACCAGGTACCCCAAACATGGCACGTGCTTTGAGAAGACTACTGATATTACACTAAAATTTTAGGGAGAAATTCTTCAAAACAAAAGAATGACCAAGAGAAGTGAATGTATTTATGTTGGAGGAAAATAATGCATGAGATCTAA